CTCTCTCTTTCCCTCTGTCTTGCCCTCTCCCTCTCTCTCTCTCTCTCTCTCTCTCTCTCTCTCTCTCTCTCTCTCTCTCTCTCTCTCTCTCTCTCCCTTCCTCACTCTCTTCCCCACTCCTTCTTTACATACCTCATATATGTTAATCTCATCTCCCAAGCCTTAATCTCTAATAAATGCTTTTTATAAAAATATATTTTTTCAGCTGAGGCTCAAAATACAACACAGCAACATTAACACTGAAATTAGGATTCAAATTCAAGGACTATTCTCCTACAAAATCACCATTATATTATCTACCCTGTTTATTATATTTTGAAGTCGTAATGTTAAAATACGTAAGGTACAAATATTGGAGTAAATCAATATCTGATCACTTTTAAGTATACAAGCTATGCCAATGGTAACTATAGAAGATGAAAAATATAGAATGAGTACCATAAGCATTGGGTTAAATACACAAGAAAAATATAGCAAAAAAAAAAAAATCAGTGTTTTCTAAACTCATGCAATCTACCTGCCTTCAGAAGCATTGTTTCCCTTGTTTATTACCTGCTTATTTCCATTTTTTCCTGTTTGTTTTGATCTAATATTTTGTGAAAACCCTTTTTTGAAACATTTGATAAGAAACTGATTGTAGTTTAACATTATAGAATGACTACTCTTCCTCAAAGAATACACTTTTTTTTAATACTCAAGCTAACCTTACAATAATCTGGGTAACCTAACTTTTAAAAAGCAGAATATTATTTGCTAGTGGATGAATTTAAAAGATCACTTATTTTTTGCATAAAGAATTTTAATGCATATTTATTATTATAATCTGAGGTCCCTCATGCATTATTTAATTTCATTAGAGATAATAGGTAAATTGATACTCAGGACACTTTCTTTCATTCCACTTCTGTCTCTATGCTGACATGGAGGAAATACAATCAGCTTAAAATCAGACAAGCATTATGAAATAAATTGTCTTTTGTTTTAGACTTAGAGGACCCTTTCCAGATCCTTTTCTGTACTGAAATGCAGTAGCATTACTGACACTTTTTTTTAAAAGGACATTTCAAATAACATCCTAGTGAGGAAAAGAAAATATTATACATTTTAAAAAAATTATTAAAGTGGTCCTATATTTTGAATTTTTCTCTTGATCATCTTATATAAAATATTATTAACATTCAGTATTATTTATAAAAATTCAGGCAATATATAAGCTTGTGGTTTTATTGTTCAGGTCCTGCTTAAGAGAGAAACATTTTAACTTTAAAAGTGTACTACTTTTTGAGATAATAAAGATTAATGCTGATTCAAGAAACAAGTAACAATGACAAAAACAAAGCCAAACAAACTCTAAGGTTTAAAGCTGCAGCCTATTCTATTCTATCAGTGTCTTCAAAGAAGAAATAACATTACTCAGGGTAAAGCAAATGGTTGTATAAGAACAGAAATTTTATAAATGGACAGTCACCATATCCATAATTCTATTAAGATTCATTAAAATGATAGACAAAGATAAAATACACTGTTATCTTTTAATTTTTAGGTACAATTAAAGGTGATTTAGGAAATTTATTGCAAAAGAATTAAATGACATAATTCTTGCAGGAAATCTTGGATGGTATCTGTACAATCTAGAAGTAGAAGCATAATGCTTAGAAATTAAAAAATGTGTGTGTACACACAGAAATATAGCTTATATAATTACAGTAGTATAAATATAATTTTGATTAAAATTATATAGTATATGATAAGGAGCTAAACATTACACAGAAAGAACACGGATAAAAGTTGTTTAATAATTTAATAAATACAGTAGGCAATAGATAATGGTTGGCACTTCACACTGATACAAATTCAAATGGACAGCAGATACATAAAAAGATTCAAATTTTCACTTAGCTGTTGAAATGCTAACTTTGCAGAAGTTTATTGTTATGAATCTGTATAAATTGAAAAATTTCAACAAAGCAAATTCAACAACATACTGGGTCGCTGGGAAAGTCATGACACATTTTTGCATTGAAAAACAGAAAAATATGTGATGAGTTTTCTGACGACCCAATAAAATAAATAAGCCCACTTTCATATACATATTCATTTGTATGTATTCATATATATATATATATATATATATATGTAT